TTTAGCTAAAAAATTCAAGTGATTTTTTCAAAAATTATTGTCTGTACCGGTTCAGTCCAGCCAATGCTTTGACTCCGCCTATGTCCAGTAGTATCACTTCAATAGTATTAAAATAATAATCATAATAGAGGTTAATAATAGTCCCGTAATCATGTGTTAATATAATATTAGTAAAGAATATTATGTGTGTTAATATTTTGTGAAGATATGAGAATGACCGATTCAAAAGCATCGATGTGCATATGCATATGATTATTGTAATTTTCAAAATAAATAAATAAAATGATTGTATGAAGTATTACAAAGTACGAACTGGTCATCAGTTATAAACTAAATCAAAGCTTTTTGTACAAAAAAATTTGTTGTTGTAATGCGCACTCCTCCTCCACCCAACAAAATTTTAAACCTTTAATTTCTAATGCATGAAGTTTATTTGCTCTATGACATAAATATAGACTTGAGAACTTTGATTTTTAGAATCCTTTGTCAAAGCCAGACTTGTAAAAAAAAAAGTTGCATAATAATTACCCACAATGTATTGTATTAGTCCATATAGTTTAGGTACATGATTATCAATTCCATAGGATTTTGTTTATTTTTTGTAAAAGTGATATCACATGTTGCATATCCACTATCAATTAATGTGTAGTCTTAGAATGTGAAATTGCAATTCAAATTACATGATGCTTAGTTCAAATTTGCTAATCATGTGACTGACCTTTCAATAAATCTCGATCAGTCAAATGTAGGAACAACAGTTATGACCGATCTGATAGATACTCGCACCGAATTGCCCCGATAAAACAGGAAAAACTGCATTGGTCATGTAACGGTTACGGCGCATGGAGTACCGATTTTGGTTTTACGGGTAACATAGCAGTTACTATTTTGTACATGCATGCCTTGCCTTGTACTTGTCTCATTCATTTTTAATTATACATTGATTGCATTTTTTATTATTTGTCCCACAACTAATAAAACATGAGATTTTTCTCTTTTGATTGTGTAAATATTTATGTACTAACTATAATGTATGAATGAAAGTTCATAATAGATTTTAGGGAAAATCGCACTTTTAGTCCGTGAAATAATCACCATATTGAAATGACCGGCTTGTGTTCCCCAATTTGTAAATGTCACCCTCAATTGTTCAAATTGCTGTAAATGTGATCATGGAGGGAGAGATGTACAATGTGGGAGAGTACATTGCACCCTTCAAAGCACCATATTTACAACAATTTGGACAATTGAGAGGTATCATTTACAATATCAGAAATACAGGTCTGACAATTCAATATAGTGACTATTCTAGGAACTAAAAGTGCGATTTTCCCTATATTTTAATAGTCTCATTTAGTTATTATAAGGGTATTTTGTTGATTAATTAATTTACAGTTTAAGTATTTTTGGATTCAAATTAATTTAAATTGCCTTCTTTCTCATCTTGTAGGATACACAAAACTTCCGCCTTTTAAATTATCATTTTTTATATAAATATGTGTATGACTCATGCATTTAACAAAATGGTTACCCGCACTTATACCCATTATCCATTGGGGTGATTATGTTTTAAATAAAATTTATATGTTGGGTAATGGGGGGATTACGGAGTGGGAAAATTATTCAACGGGACGTGTACGGTTATATACATAATCGTCTCTGATTTTCCCCGTTACTATCTCTAGATTCAAATGATGTTTAATTCAACTTTGTTTAGATTCTATAACTTAGCAATTATCGTCGACTTTAGTCCTAACATTTGGTAATTTGTTCATTTCATTTCATTTTCACTTACCCCTATACTAAAGCACAGAGAGACTGTTTCCGGATGACCCATAGTGAAAATCGCGTCCAAAATTGCATGGACTGACTGTTGCTTCATAACAAAGAAGCGCAGACAGTTTAGTGAGCCATTTTGCTTTATTCCATCATATTCTCAAGCCAAAAAATAATGAATCTTTGGCTCCATTGCAAATGATGGAAATAACATTTGGTAATTTGTTATGGGGTGTTAATTGCTAATCTGAATTAATAACTAATCTGTTTTTATTTTTTTAAATGGACCCACATTTCAGAGATATGGTTTAATTTAGAGGAATAATCTTTTTCCTTCGATTTGGAGAGTCACCTCCCTTTTAGATGTTTTCCATTTAAAAGGAATTCTAAACATAAATCAAATAATGCAATGTGAAAAATAGGTTAAATTATAAATAAATAGAAGTAATGGAACATTTTTCTCTAATTAAAAGGTTAAAATAGAAGTCATTTGAATCAATAGTGTCACTCAAAATTTAATTTTTGAGTGAAATAAAAAACTTACATACAATTCAAAATACGTAAAAATGTGAAAACCTATATACTAAATAAATAACAGAAATAAATGTGATTCTATAAGCATATCATTAACTTAACTCTCATCCATTAAATTTAATTCATGCCTCGTTTCAGGGGTGGAGTCAGGAAATTGCGTCGGACTGGGCTTGTACAACTTTCTTAGAAAAAGTTGCACGAAATTTTTTACATTAAAATTTAAGGCGTTTTTTAAATTTGGGATGAGGCCCTCTAACGTCGAAATGAGCCGGTAAAAAAAACATTTCCTTAAAAGTTTAGGCTTTTTTAAAATTTGGGATAGGCATTTGTAAAATATATGCACGTATGACTTTTTTAAAGAATTATATTTTTTTTTAGAATTAAAAATTTCTTACTCCATACTCTGTATGATTTTTTTGATCGTACTCTATATGAATTAAATATTGCGATTTAATTTGTAAGTAGTTGATATCATCTGGAATCCAAAAATTGATGTTCTGCTATAAACAAACAAACTAAAAAGAATTAGTTACGTTACTTGTTTTCCGCAAATCAATTACAAAGTTTTCGGTATTAATAATTATTAATGCCCTAAAAGTGATGTTAATTATTGTATTAATTAACCAATTAGAAGATGACACATCAGCTTTTCATAACTCAGCTTTACTATATAAAACAATAGATGAAAGTTTTTTCCGGGGAAAATTGGGAAGGTAGTGCTCCTGCTTTTAAAAAATAATAATAAACAAATTTGGTCCTAGTGCTTTTTTTTAAAGAAGATTTTATTGATATAAAATAAGGGTACAATGCAAGAAGGGAAGAAATAAAATAAAAGTACATGAAAAGAAAAATAAAAGTACTAAATCAAGGGAAAAGCAGTACAAAAAGAAAGAAAAGAAAAAAAGCTAATCCCATGGGAAACCTCGGGATTGGGACCTAGTTGTCATGCTGTGACGCCGTTTGTTCTTTTGAGATTTCCTGTAGATCTTTAGTTGCGTGTTTAATTTGTCGGTCGGCAGACAATTTTCTGTGGTTATGAAATTAGCTTTGCGACAAATCGCGGTATTGAACTTGGATTTTCTAATTTCTTCTGGGTAGGAAATAGGTGGACGGCGATCACTCTCGGTTGCATGTCCCAAGAAGTCATCTGTAAAGAATGAGTCATCTGAATGATCAAAATCGTCAGAGGCATCAGAGTAAGCCTGGATCAATGGCAACTGGGGTTTTTTCCCGGAAGAGAAGACATGGTTATTTTCAGTATCTGCCGCCTGAATTTGAGAATTAAAAATGAGTTTTGATATGGATGTGGGGTCCTCGGTTTTTAATACACTCCTGTGTTGAAGAGATATTGAGTCGTCCTGCACTGTCTTTGTGTGTCCTACAAAATTAGAAAAAATAGTAAGGAATTTAAATAGGATCGAATTATGGGATCCCATAGGTATCTGAATGAAGCTCCCCATATATTTCCCCATATATAGGATCCCATAGGAATTTGGTCCTAGTGCTTTTTAAAAGATTAATAAAATTTCCGAACTTTGTAAAAACATTCAATTGAATCCAGAACTTGTCATATCAGCAGGTCACACGCCTTTAGAATTTCAGGAACAGGTACCGAATCGAGGTAGACCTCTGTTACCAATTTTCTAGTCCCAACTTTTTTGGTTCGATTCGGTTTTTTCCTTTGACGGTTCGTTTTTTTTTTTTTCCAGATCGGTTATCGCTTTTTCGGTTCAAAATGTCAGCCCTAATTCCATCTACGCCAATCAGCATAGCCTCCCTAGAGTCGCCTCTCATCTCTCCCTCTCACTACCGATAGCTACTAGTTGTTAACCTCACATCCCTCATCATCATCAATTGTCGCCCAAAAAGTTAGCCCTCACCATTGCTCGGCGAGCAGTTTCTTCCCCATCGATCGTTAGTGAGCATCTTTGTCATAATTGATTGTCGCCCAACCTTGTCGCCCTTGATCGTTGGTTACCATCTTCACACAATCAGAAATAATCACTTTTAGGGTCATAGCCCAATCGTTAATTTCTGTAATATTGCACTTTTTTTAAACCGGGACTAAATGTATATTAATTCAAAAGATCATTTGCCAAAAGGCTTACAATACAATCCGGAATAATATCATAACTACATCTATGATCTGAGATGGATATGTGCGCTCTAGCTAGCTTATGAGCCACACGGTTCGCAGATCGTGAACAAAAAGAGATCACAAAATTACTCTTTGTCTCCAATATAGAACAAACATCATCCATAATCAGGTCCAGATAAGCAACACCACCCACTACATAACAACTTGTGCATCAGATTCCAGCTCAATTTTCTCTCAGCCCTCCTCCTCGGCCACCATAAGAACCTCCCTTATTCCCATTGCCTCGGTTTCCGCCGGACTCCAATCCACCATCACCGACCCATGATGTACTCCTAATTTACCATATTTACGATATTGTTTTGTCACACTTTTAATACTTTATTTCTCATTTTTAAATAAAAAGGATTGATCTTTATCATCTTGGACATTTTAAGGTATTGCACTTGTTTTGGTATATTTTTGAGTTTCAGGATAATTCGGAACATATATTAATTTCTGAAAAGAAATAAATATTACTCCCGAGTGAAGACGGAAAAAATCATCAAAGTGAAGCGAGTCCTTACTTTATCTCCGAAATATTTATACAGAGACCCGAAGTTCATTTCAGAATAAATCAGACTGTCCACAATAAAATGTACCGGTTAACTGTTTGACCAGTTAACTGATCAAACAGCTAACCGGCCAAATAAAGAAGTGGCGAACAAAGAGCCAAGCTGACAACATTAGTCACTCCATTATTGTGAATAAGGCTCCACCGTAGAAGAAATCTCAAGAAGAAAACAAATTGAGATCAAATAATTGTATTGCATCCACTTGGAACCAAAGCTGTCTTCATCATCTTTCATTAGCTGAACAGAGGAGCACAGCGGCCGACGAAGAAAAATGCACAACAGAACAGTGGCCGGTGCTATTTGCAGGAAGAAAAATGAGAAATTGGCAATCACATCTGGTGAAGATTGAAATCAATGGCCGTCCAAATTAAATAATCTTTATCTTCATTCAGAGATATTTCTGAGCTATATATACCCTTCTTTTGCTACTATATAAAGGGGTTATTCAGGAGCTTCAAAGAACACAACCAAGTTCTGATAGAAATCATTGTTCTCTTTTCTTTAGTTTATATTAGTAGCCATATAATAAAAGTGATTCTGTCAAGAACACTTTCTGTATAGATTTCAGTTTGTAATTCTCAGTTCCAGAATTTTAGCTTGTGATATTGGTATTAAAGTTCATATGCAATTATCAGTTCGTTCGATCAGTGCAAGCTTTATACAAGGATTCCAGGCTTTTTCTGTTCCAGTTCATCTATGTTCTTCATTATTTATGCCTTCAGGTTCTTATTTAAACACTACTTTAATTTCTTTAATCTGTTAATTTAATTATGCCTAGCATGAATTTTACTTTTATATTGTTCACTATAATTATGTGTAACTAAATTAGTTTAGGCTTGGGCAAAATGTAAATTTTACAGTTAATGTTCATATGATAATAATTGGTTAAAACTTTTACTTGGTTAATTTTAGGGTGTTGGGTTGAATGTTCTAATCTGCTAAATACATTATATTGGGAAATGAATATTATCACGGGAGTGGAGTTTCATTAAAAATCCCTTTAGTTAATTCACCCACTAAATTGCTACACGGAAGTGTTAAGGAATTTAGGATAATTTGATTTTGTACTTTTTACTGTCTTAATAAAATTACCGCGGGAGCGGAATTAATTTAAGATAGTGTAATCAACTAAGTCGTGGGAACGATTAGAAGATTACCATTTGAAAATCTTTCACACACCTAAAAGTAACCAAGTTAATCAGTTAAATCTTTATTATTATGAACATGATAATGAAATCACTCTAAGCCCAAGCCTAATTTTCACTACATCATTAATTGTTAAATTATCAAGTATTGTGATTTATTTTATTTCCTAGCAATTTCACATTTATAAAAACAAGATAAAAAAATCTGTTCACTTAGCTCCATTGCAAAATGTTATCAATTTGTGATTAGCTGAAAATCAATCATTAATTCTAGTTCTCTTTTTGAGCCATTCTCTAGAGGAACGATACTCACTTACTCTATACTATATCGTTACAAACCAATTAAAACATCATTTCCATTCACATTTTTACACCATTTCACACTACACATTTTGGCATGTCACGATTTTGGCGCCGTTGCCGGGGAATGGCATAGTGTTAATGATTGATTATTAGTTAATATTTGTTTTTGTTTTTATTTATCTGGAGACTAAGTTTTTTTTTACCTGTTATCATCACCTTTGTAAAAACAATTCAAAAAAAAAATCATTTTTCCTGCATTTTGTAAAAAAAAAAAATAGTTTATGCATACTCGCTCTCAAGGGAGTGAAGGATTGCAACCACTTAACCTTGATTTTGAAAAAGAATTAAGGAAAAGAAGAAAGGCACGAACCCTTGAACTTAAAATTCAAGATCAGATCATGGAGGATCTTCAAAACAATCCCAATAATCCAAATGGCCAAAACCTAATTCCAAATCCAAATCCTACGCCACCACAAAATACACCCATTGATACTCCTAGAGATGGACATAATCCTTTCTTTGGAGATCAAAGACCCCCATGATTTGAAAATTTCCAACAAATTCCTCCTCAAACACAACCCCAACTTCATCCACCACATCCCTACCACAACTACCAAAATCAACCTCCTCCATATCCATATACATATCCTTATCCTTACCCACCTCCTCCATTTATACATCCATACCAACCTCACCCATATGGCCAATACTACCAACACCCACATATCCAACAAGGTCAAGGGCAATTCATGAGACAACAACAACAAGGAAGAAGACTTCTTGATTATGTTGCAGGTGAAATTGAGGAACAAGATAGCATTCTCTATCCGGGTGTGGATGCAGTAAATTTTGAGATCAAACCAGCACTTATCTCATTGGTATCGGCCAACAAATTTGGCGGATCTAAGAATGAAGATCCAACGAGCCATGTGAAGCAATTCTTGAGAGTTCTCCAAACTCTTAAGCTTAATGGAGCCTCTGTTGATGCCATCAGACTCAGATTGTTTCCATTCTCACTGAGGGATGAAGCATTGAGTTGGTTGAACTCTAAACCATCCGGTTATTTCAACACATGGGAGAAGTTGCATAGAGATTTCATGAAGGAGTTCTATCCTCCTTCTAAGGCATGAAAAATGAAGAAACTGATCCAACAATTCAGACAACAACCATCAGAATCTCTTTACGAATCATGGAAGAGATTTAAAGATCTTCAAGTTCAATATCCGCATCATAATATGAGCATGGGTGATCTCATTGTCTCATTTTATGAGGGATTACATGATAATTCCAAAATTGTTGTGGATGCCTCTGCTAATGGAGCTTTCATGGAGCTTGATCCCGAAACAGGCAAAGAGATGCTTGAGAAAATTTGTAACAACAGTGCATCATGGTATTCTGAAAGATCCACTCAAAAGCTAGGAGCAGGAATTTATGAGGTTGACCAAACAACAGCTTTAACAGCAAAGGTTGATTCTCTCACAACCATGATTCAAAAGCTCACTGAGAAGCAATCATCATCAACTTCTAGCACAGCAACAAATCCATCATCATCTGTAGCTCAAGCTTTGTTCTGTGAACTCTGTGGGGGAGGGCATTCTTTTAAAGAATGTAATTTTCTTGAACTTACACAAAATGTTCCTTTTAGCCCCACAGTAGAACAAGCTGATGCTATATATGGTAGACCTCAAGTACCATATCAAGGAAACTATAATCCTCAAGGGAAGACACATCCAGGATTTTCATGGAGTAATTCATTAGGTGCAGCAAATCCATCTTTTCCATCCAAACCAACACCTCCTGGATTTCAAAATCAGCAAGGATTCAGAGGAAACCAAAACAACCAACAATTGAGGGGGAATCAAGGGTACCAAAATCCTCAAGGATATCCACCGCATCAACAATTGCCACCACCACCACAACAACAATTTGTTGGAGTAAATGATTTCCAACAGATGATGCAAGGCATTACTAATCAATTCTCTCAACTCACCACTCAACTCAATCAAATTCAAGCTCACAACAAAATGCTTGACAGCCAAATTGCTAGTTTTGCTTCACCATCAACTAGCAAAGCTCAAGGAAAGTTGTCTGCCTACTCTGAACATCCCAAGGAGAATGTCAATGCAGTCACTACAAGGAGTGGAAAACAACTTTCTGATTCACCACTTATAGTTGAGAAAGAAAAGATTCCTGAAAAGGAGGCTTCACCATCAAAGGAAAATAATGAAGAAGATCTTACTTCTTCTGCAAATGAAGGTTTGAAAAAGGTAGTGCAACCATATGCTCCACCTTTACCATTTCCTCACAGAGCAAAGAAGAACACAATTGATGAGAGGAGGGATAAATTCCTTAAATGGATCGGTGAGTTGAACACAACAATCCCGCTTCTTGATGCTCTGAAACATATGCCTTCATATTCCAAATTTCTGAAGGAAATTCTGTCAAACAAAAAGAAGTTCGAGGAGAAAGCTGCAATAGCCATGAGCGAGGGATCCAGTGCTATCATTCAGAAGAAACTTCCAGAAAAATTGAAGGATCCAGGTAGCTTTACTATACCATGCATAATTGGAGGGTTCATGGTCAACAAAGCTTTATGTGACCTTGGGGCTAGTGTTAGCCTTATCCCCTATTCTATGAGAAAACGGCTTAGTCTTGGTATTCCCAAGGCTACTTCAATGACCATTCAGCTTGCTGACCGATCTGTTAAGCACCCTGTTGGTGTTCTTGAAGACATTCCTGTACAGGTTGGGAAATATTTCATCCCTTGTGACTTTGTTGTCCTAGACATGGATGAAGATGAGCGAGTACCTGTCATATTGGGAAGACCTTTCTTGGCCACTGCCGGTGCCATCATTGATGTTAAAAAAGGTACGTTAATAATTGAAGTGGGGGATGAAAGGGTTGAATTCAATATTTTCCAAATGGCGAGAAATCCTGCATGTGTGGAAGATTGTTGGAGGGTTGATATAGTTGATGAATGTGTGAGAGACTTCATGGGATTCTTTCACAATGATCCTATGGAAGTTTATGATGTGGAGAAAATTAAAAATAATCATAAGGGAGAAGAGTTAGTTGAGTGTGTAAAAAACAAAGAGAGTTGTAAAAAGAATCATGAGGGGAAGGAAGTGGAGAAACTGGTGAGAGAAGAAGTCAGGGAGGCTAACAACACAAAAGAACCACCCAAAGTTGAGTTGAAGCCTTTACCATCACACCTAAGATATGCTTATCTTGGTAAAAACTCCACTTACCCAGTGATAATTAGCACTAAGTTGAATGAGGAGGAAGTAGACAAGTTGTTGACCCTGCTGAGAAAACACAAACGGATCATTGGATACTCCATTGATGATCTAATTGGCATCAGTGCTAACTATTGTATGCACAGAATATATCTTGAGGAAGGTTGCAAACCAGTGGTTGAACATCAAAGGAGGCTCAACCCTAACATGAAGGATGTTGTGAAGAAAGAAGTTATCAAACTTCTTGATGCCGGAATCATTTACCCTATCTCGGACAGCAGATGGGTAAGTCCAATCCATGTTGTACCAAAGAAAGGAGGTTTCACAGTTGTTCCAAATGAGCACAATGAGCTCATTCCTACTTGTTTGGTCACGGGATAGAGAATGTGCATTGATTATAGGAGGCTGAACAAAGTCACAAATAAGGATCATTATCCTTTACCTTTCATTGATCAGTTGCTTGAAAGGATGGCAAACCATAGCCATTATTGCTTTCTAGATGGATTCTCAGGATATTTTCAAATCATGATCCATCCAGATGATCAAGAAAAGACTACCTTCACGTGTGCCTATGGTACATTTGCTTTTCGAAGAATGTCATTTGGCCTATGTAATGCACCCGGCACTTTCCAACGATGTATGATGGCCATTTTCTCAGATCTTATTGAAGAAATCATGGAGGTATTCATGGATGATTTCTCTGTTTATGAGACCTCATTTGGTTCGTGCTTGGATAATCTTGATAAAGCACTGACTCGTTGCCAAGAGGCAAATCTTGTCCTAAACTGGGAGAAGTGCCATTTCATGGTAACAGAAGGAATTGTTCTTGGGCATAAGATTTCATCCAAAGGCATTGAGGTAGATCCAGCAAAGATCGAAGTGATTGAGAAGTTACCACCGCCAACATCTGTTAAAGGCATCCGAAGTTTTCTAGGGCACGCCGGATTTTATCGGCGATTCATCAAGGATTTTGCTAATATTGCAAAACCACTCACAAGACTCTTGTCCAAAGAGGTTGACTTTATCTTTGACGATGCTTGTCTTAATTCCTTTTGCAAAATTAAGAAAGCATTATGTTCCGCATCTGTCATTCAACCACCAGATTGGAGCATGCCTTTCATCTTAATGTGTGATGCCAGTGACTATGCTGTAGGAGCCATGTTGGGACAGAAACAAGGTCGGTGCATACATGCAATTTATTATGCAAGCCATACTCTCGATGATGCCCAACAAAACTATGCCACAACAGAAAAAGAACTACTCGTTGTTGTCTTTGCAATAGAGAAGTTCAGGTCATATCTTGTTGGAAGCAAAATGATAGTCTACACTGATCACTCGGCTCTAAAGTACCTGTTTGCGAAGAAGGAGGCCAAACCACGACTTATTAGATGGGTGTTGCTACTACAGGAGTTTGATATTGAGATCCTTGACAAAAAAGGGTCTGAAAATGTCATTGCTGATCACCTGTCCAGAATTGAGCCACACACAAAAAATGAAGCGACCAAAGTGTTACCCATTGATGATTCATTCACGGGAGAATATTTACTCTCAATCAAGCACTTTTCTCCTTGGTATGCTGATTGGGTTAATTACCTTGTCAGTGGTTATATTCCTTCTGAATTCTCATGGTCCCAAAAGAAAAAGTTCTTACATGATGCTCGCTCTTATTTTTGGGATGAACCACTATTGTTCAAGAGATGTGTTGATGGAATTGTTCGAAGATGCATCCCAGAAGATGAATTTGAGGCTATCCTTTATCATTGTCATTCATCACCATATGGTGGTCATTTCGGATCCACAAGGACTTCAGCTAAAGTCCTACAGTCAGGTTTCTATTGGCCTACATTGTTCAAAGATTCTCAAATGTATGTGAAAAGATGTGATCGATGCCAACGCACAGGATCTATTGGCCGTCGAAATGAAATGCCGCAATCCGGAATACTTGAAGTTGAACTCTTCGATGTATGGGGAATGGACTTTATGGGACCATTTTCCAGCTCATGCGGCAATTCTTACATTCTTGTGGCTGTGGACTATGTCTCGAAATGGATTGAAGCGATTGCTAGTCCAACCAATGATTCCAAGGTTGTGATCCGATTTGTGAAGAAATTTATTTTCTCAAGGTTTGGAGTTCCCAGGGCCTTCATCACAGATAATGGTACACACTTTTGCAATAAACAACTTGAGAAACTTTTGCTCAAGTATGGTGTTAATCACAAAGTGTCTACTCCGTACCATGCATAAACTAGTGGCCAAGTTGAACTCTCAAACAGGGAAATTAAATCAGTCCTTGAGAAAGTTGTCAATCCCACAAGGAAAGTTTGGTCCCTCCGACTAGATGATGCTTTATGGGCCTATTGTACTGCATATAAAACTCCCATTGGGACATCACCGTTCAAATTGGCGTATGGGAAGTCTTGTCACTTACCAGTGGAGATTGAACACAAAGCATTTTGGGCTATCCAAAGCCTAAACCTTGACTACACTCTGGCAGGGAAAAAGAGGCTATTACAATTGAATGAACTTGAAGAATTCAGACTTGATGCCTTTGAGAATGCCCGACTTTACAAGGAAAGGGCAAAGAAATGGCATGACAGAAGAATCCTTAGGAGAGACTTTTCTCCTGGGGATAGTGTGTTACTATTCAACTCAAGGCTGAAACTCTTTCCAGGAAAGCTGAAATCAAAATGGTCTGGACCTTTCAAAGTTATCAAAGCCTATCCATCCGGGGCAATCATTCTGGAGGCCAATGATGGGAGGCAATTTACTGTCAATGGCCAAAGAGTTAAGCAATACCATGAAGGAGATGACACAAAGGAGAAACTCACTGTTCATCTGGATGATCCTCCTTACGAGTAAACCACCCAGGTAATGTCGGGCACACGACGTTAAAAATAGCGCTTCTTGGGAGGCAACCCAAGTTTAATACTTGCATTTGAATGTGTGTTTTGCTTGTGTGTTTGCATTGAATAATTTTATTTTCCCACCCATTTACTCACCCGCCCTGTATATATTTGTCACATCGAGGACGATGTTTCATCCTAAGTGTGGGGGGAGAATATGCATGTTTGTTTGTTTGTGAATTGCCTTATCATCTGTATAACTTTCAAATCATACATTCTATTCTTTCACATGGCATGTGGAAGGTTGGCTGGACTTGTCTCTTAATAATTGGATTGAGAATCATAATTTTTGAGCATTGAGTAAAATTTTGGTCCAATTTTAAACTTTTTTACAAACACAAAACATCTCATGCACGTAAATGGTTATCTAGTGAATTGTTGTTCAATATGTTTAAAATTGTGCAAAACAAGAGTACTATGTGCTTTTATTTTCCTTGACATGATTTTCTGACTTAGCACATTAGGAAATGATATAGGCCATTTTTCATAAACCCATATACCTAGCCTTACCCAGGTGATAAATATCCCTTGTTCACCCCCTTTGAGCCATTTTTTTAATAAGCGTTATACGCTTAACCCTGTTTTTCTTATTTTTTTTTTTCATAAAAACCTGTTATATGTGACCCTTAGCCTAAAAGCCAAACACTTTCCAATAGGGGTGAGCGTGGGACGGTACGGGACGGTTATTTCAAAAAACCTGTCCCGTTCCAAAGTACGGTTCTTTTTAAAATCAAGAACCGGTACCGTCCCGCATATATGTAGAACCTGTCCCGTTCCGTACCAATTTTCGGTCCGGTCCGGTACGGTTCGGTACGGTTCTTAAATAACTAAATAACCCCCTTGAAATATAAAAATTTAGATTTTAACATTTATAAATAACGCTACAAAAATTGAAGAGAAGAATTTGCAAGATTATATTAGCCTTGTAGGTGAGCCGAATTGAGGAGGAACACCAAAGGCGATTAGTTCTGCCGTTCCTCACTTTTGGACTTTTTGGTCTGCTAGAGGATATGTTGCCGACTGAATCAGGTTTAAGAGTTTTGTTCTATTTATGTAGCATTATTTATACTCCGAATCATTTAGTGTTTTTGTTTTAATAATTGGATTGGGCCCAAAGAAGATGTAAGAGTAATATACGGACAATTATACTCAGTATATAATATATATTATACGGAGTATTATATATAAAAAATTATTATTATATTATAACACTAGTTTTCGGGACAATTCGGGACGGTACGAGACGGTTCGGTTCAGTACGGTTCCGGGACGGTTCCGGTACGGTTCTTACTAAGAACCGGTACCGTACCATATTATTAAAAAAACTCGGTACGGTACGGTACGGTATTACATTTTTCCGGTTCTATCGGTTCTGGAACGGTTCGGGACGGTTCTTCGGTACGGAACGAGAATTCCCAGATCCGCGCTCAGCCCTACTTTCCAACCACCCTAAAATGACTTGCATAAATTTTAATGAGTTTAGAGAGTGTCATTCACATTTAGGGAGCTTTAATAATTACACTTTTGTGATTACTTGTTAATATATATTCATTTATGGGGGTAGTTGTTCTTGTTGTATCATCATTGTACATATTATTCTTGTAAATTCTTATGGTTAGAAGCACTAAAAAGTCTTGGAAAAAAAAAATCAAAAAAAAAAAACAAAAAAAAAAAACAGAAAAAAAAGGAAAATGAAAAAAAAGAATAAAAAAAAAATCTAAACAAGGCTAATTATCCATGTATATGCTTCTCTCTTTTGTATATTTTTTTTTTTTGGTACATTAATTTACTCTTTTTACTAGTTACTAGTTTACTACCCCTAACTATTAAAAATAACAAATAACAAGTGTTGTATAGATTATTGTCAAAAGCTCCTACTCACTACTTAATACCTCTCTAAATTTGTTAAATTTATGTCAAGTTCATTTCTTTTGTTTCCTCATTAATTCCCTTTGTTCATAAGCCTTTTCCCAAAGACCCCGTCATAACCCAATGTAAAAGTCCTAATTGATCTTAATTGTGTTTTGTCTGAAATAAGTTGATAGGAAAATCTTATTTTGCATAATTTTGCATGATTGAACAAATGAAGCTACATTCCATCTTCACACCACACACTTTGTGTTTGTTAGAGTTGAGATTTGACCAAAACGTTTCAAATGATATGCAAAATATTTTTATGATTCTCACTACTCTTATTTTGTGACAAGTCAAGGGAATTTGATTGACCAGGTGGAGTGAAAGTAAAGTGTGCATGATTTGAGGATTACACATATGATTTGGAAATTCATTTTTGCATGCTCGGTTGCTTGTGTGAAATGTAAATATTTTTGCTTGAGGACAAGCAAAATCTTAAGTATGGGGGAGTTGATGTACTCCTAATTTACCATATTTACGATCTTGTTTTGTCACACTTTTAATACTTTATTTCTCATTTTTAAATAAAAAGGATTGATCTTTATCATCTTGGACATTTTAAGGTATTGCACTTGTTTTGGTATATTTTTGAGTTTCAGGATAATTCGGAACATATATTAATTTCTGAAAAGAAATAAATATTACTCCCGAGTGAAGACGGAAAAAACATCAAAGTGAAGCGAGTCCTTACTTTATCTCCGAAATATTTATACAGAGACCCGAAGTTCATTTCAGAATAAATCAGACTGTCCACAATAAAATGTACCGGTTAACTGTTTGACCAGTTAACTGATCAAACAGCTAACCGGCCAAATAAAGAAGTGGCGAACAAAGAGCCAAGCTGAACACATTAGTCACTCCATTATTGTGAATAAGGCTCCACCGTAGAAGAAATCTCAAGAAGAAAACAAATTGAGATCAAATAATTGTATTGCATCCACTTGGAACCAAAGCTGTCTTCATCATCTTTCATTAGCTGAACAGAGGAGCACAGCGGCCGACGAAGAAAAATGCACAACAGAACAGTGGCCGGTGCTATTTGCAGGAAGAAAAATGAGAAATTGGCAATCACATCTGGTGAAGATTGAAATCAATGGCCGTCCAAATTGAATGATCTTTATCTTCATTCAGAGATATTTCTGAGCTATACCCTTCTTTTGCTACTATATAAAGGGGTTATTCAGGAGCTTCAAAGAACACAACCAAGTTCTGATAGAAATCATTGTTCTCTTTTCTTTAGTTTATATTAGTAGCCATATAATAAAAGTGATTCTGTCAAGAACACTTTCTGTATAGATTTCAGTTTGTAATTCTCAGTTCCAGAATTTTAGCTTGTGATATTGGTATTAAAGTTCATATGCAATTATCAGTTCGTTCGATCAGTGCAAGCTTTATACAAGGATTCCAGGCTTTTTCTGTTCCAGTTCATCTATGTTCTTCATTATTTATGCCTTCAGGTTCTTATTTAAACACTACTTTAATTTCTTTAATCTGTTAATTTAATTATGCCTAGCATGAATTTTACTTTTATATTGTTCACTATAATTATGTGTAACTAAATTAGTTTAGGCTTGGGCAAAATGTAAATTTTACAGTTAATGTTCATATGATAATAATTGGTTAAAACTTTTACTTGGTTAATTTTAGGGTGTTGGGTTGAATGTTGTAATCTGCTAAATACATTATATTGGGAAATGAATATTATCACGGGAGTGGAGTTTCATTAAAAATCCCTTTAGTTAATTCACCCACTAAATTGCTACACGGAAGTGTTAAGGAATTTAGGATAATTTGATTTTGTACTTTTTACTGTCTTAATAAAATTACCGCGGGAGCGGAATTAATTTAAGATAGTGTAATCAACTAAGTCGTGGGAACGATTAGAAGATTACCATTTGAAAATCTTTCACACACCTAAAAGTAACCAAGTTAATCAGTTAAATCTTTATTATTATGAACATGATAATGAAATCACTCTTAGCCCAAGCCTAATTTTCACTACATCATTAATTGTTAAATTATCAAGTATTGTGATTTATTTTATTTCCTAGCAATTTCACATTTATAAAAACAAGATAAAAAAATCTGTTCACTTAGCTCCATTGCAAAATGTTATCAATTTGTGATTAGCTAAAAATCAATCATTAATTCTAGTTCTCTTTTTGAGCCATTCTCTAGCGGAACGATACTCACTTACTCTATACTATATCGTTACAAACCAATTAAAACATCATTTCCATTCACATTTTTACACCATTTCACACTACACATTTTGGCATGTCAACCCACCTCCACCGTTAATAAAAGTCCCCTGCTCATCCCTTGCTACACAACCCCAAGCTCTTCTTCCCCCTGACATATCCGTTGCAGCATCCACATTGATCTTCAAGAAGCCCGACTTCGGTTTATTCCAGCACAAATTTCCCCTGCCACTCCTACTACCCGTCGGCTTCATGCTTCCCTAAGCTTCCTTCCAGGCAAGAAGCATGCAAGCACAGCTATTGACGAGGTTGGCCGTCTCTTGCATCTCATCCTCCCAGACAAGGAGGTTTCTCCTCTTCCATAAACCCGGTGTAATCATAGACACCTTGCAGCATAATTCTTTATCCACACTTGAGAGAAGTTGTTGAAGCCATAGTCTCCTTCCAAGCTTCGGTCGCGTTTGGACACGTCCTCAGAGCATGCTCCTTAGTCTCATCGTCTTGGCCGCATATCTTACAAGTAATCAGGATAGGGACTCCTTTCTTCGCCAGATTTGTCACGGATGGTAGAGACCCATCCAGTACCTGCCAAATAAAATATTTGATTTTCGGAGGGATTTTTAACTCCCAAAAGGATTTCCATCCCCCAGCTCCCGTAGCCGGCATAAGAGCTTTGTAACAGCTCTTGACTGAAAATAGCCCATTTTGTTCCTTGCTCCACCAAAAACTATCCTCCACCTCCCTGTGGCTAATGGGAATACTACAAATAGCTCTTTTCTCTTCTTCACTAAAGATATTTGTGATCCTCTCCATGTTCCATCGCTTCCCCGATATATCCCTCAAAGCAGCCACATTCATGTCAGTTATACCCGCAGGGTTAGGAGACTTAATCTTCCCGTCTCCTTGCCCTGGCAGCCAAGCATCAGCCCAAACTTGGACATCCCTACCATGACCCACCCGTCTTCTAATATTATCTTTTAAGATCCCCTAGGTTTCATGAATACTCCTCCATATATAAGAGGGATTGCTCCCGAGACTCGCCTGCAAAAAATTTGTTTTAGGAAAATATCTAGCCTTAAGAATACGGCTCATCAAGCTGTTAGGACTCGTCATGATTCTCCAGCCCTGTTTTGCCAGCATAACTAGATTAAATTCGCGGATTTTCCTAAATCCCAAGCCTCCCATGCTTTTCGGTTTGCAAAGCAGCTCCCATCGCCGCCATCTGATTCCTCTCTGATCGAATTTCGTCCCCTTCCACCAAAAGCCATTCATCGGCTTCTCTATCTCATTACACAAGGCACTAGGCAAAAGGAAGACATTCATAGCATACATATGCATTGCCTGAACTACATTTCTCAACAGGACAACTTTACCTGCTCTAGATAAAAAGCGATTATTCCAACTTTTTATTCGGTTTAGGACGTTGTCCCTGATGTATCCCGGAGTAGCTGTTTTGTTTCGCCCCACAAGACTTGGCAACCCCGAGTATTTCCGTTGGCCTCCTTCCTGCGGCACCCCAAAAAAATTGCAACAATGCATGCGAAAAGAATCGGCCACATTCTGGCTGAATGTGACAGACGATTTTCGAAAATTAATCTCCTGCCCCGAAATCTCCTCATATTCGGCTAGAATATTCTTCACCACCTCACACTCTGAACCAGAAGCCTTAAAAAATAAGAAATTATCATCAACGAAGAATAAATGAGATACCCTTGGTGCCTCTCTGCATACCGCCACCCCGTGCAGGTCTCCCCTGCGTTCGGCCCTGTTAATTAATGCACTCAATCCTTCAGCCACTAAAATAAACAAATAAGGAGACAACAGGTCCCCCTGGCGGAGACCCCTACCTGGTACAACAGGCCCCAAAAGGTCCCCATCAAACTGAATATAATATTTCACAGACTTCACACATTCCATAACCACCTGAACCCACTTCGTACTGAAACCCATTTTATTTAGAACTCCCTCCAAGAAAGACCAGCTCACCCTGTCGTAAGTTTTACTCATATCAAGTTTAAGCGCCACAAAACCCTCCTTTCCACTAGTCTTTCTCCTCGGGTAATGGTTTGTCTCAAAAGCCACAATTATATTATCAATAATTGACCTGCCAAGAACAAATGCACTTTGACTCTCCCCACTAAACCATCCAAAATACCCTTAAGCCTGTTTGCCAAAACTTTGGAAAATATTTTATAGATCACATTACACAAAGCAATAGGCCTCCAATCACCCATATCCTCCGGTTTTTCCACCTTCAGAATAAGCACAATATTAGTCACATTTATATGGTCAGCCAGATTACCTGATTCGAACATTGATGCACACACAGACGAAATATCTGGTCCTACTACCTCCCAGTAAGACTGAAAGAATGCGGGATTCATCCCATCTGAGCCAGGGGCCTTCTCCGGTTGCATGTCAAAAACTGTCCGCCTAACCTCCTCCGGGCTGATTGGCTTCACTAGTAATGTATTTTGTTTTGCCGTAACTTGTCGAAATTCCCCTCAGATAACAGGTTGCTGGTTCCTCATTTGCTCTTGGAATAGAACCGAGAAGTAGTCTATCACTGCCTCACCCAGCTCGCCCCGGTCTGTTGCCCATGAACCATCGGCTCTCCTCAAACCTACCATCTTATTCCTTCGTCTTCTTTGTTTGACTGCATTATGAAAAAATCGGGAGTTAATATCCCCCTCTTTTAACCAGAATTCTTTAGCCTGCTGCTTCCAGAACTGATTCTCCTTTTCAAGCAAGGCTTGCAGAACTGAGCGAACATGTAAAATTCCTTGACACTAGCTCGATCATCCTCCCCCCTCAACCATGCCAATCTGGATTTGCATGCCATTATTTGATGTCGGAAACCTCTTTTTCTTCCCCTATCCCATTTGGTCAGTTCATTACCACAAAAGCCAATCCTCTCATTTATAGACATCTGACTAGTCGTTCCCCAACTATTTGTGACAACCATCCTACATTCCTCCTCTTTTATCCAATTATTCTCAAACTTAAAAAATCTCCTACTACCATTTGGGACAGTATTTTTTACATGCAGATGTATCGCCATATGATCACTCGCAGGAGCATCTACCGACGCAGGTTGAGCTCCAGTAAATAAATCCCATCAGACATCATTGACCAGAATTCGGTCAAGTTTTTCCTCCACCCAATAATCAGTATCCTTGCCCCTATCCCAAGTCCATTGATAACCGGAAAAGGGGAAATCTCGTAGACCACAGCTATTCATTGTACGTTGAAAGCCCCGAATTCTCTAGGGAGGGTGATGGATATTCCCTTTCTTCTTTGACTCGAACAAGATTTTGTTGAAGTCTCCTGTCATCACCCATGGACCAATATTTCCATCTGCCAGATCTTCCATCATTCTCCAGGCAGCCCGACGTCGTACGGTATCGGGGAAGCCATGGTACCCCGTCAATCTCCACGGCACGTCGTTCCCCGTATGACCACCTTGCTGTCAATGAAGTTTGGATCCAGTTTCTTCACTTCCACCTTAGCCTCATCATTCCACCCTAAGATCAGACCTGCACTTCGACCTGCGCTGTTCATCCCTTCCGAATTACCGAAGCCCTTCGACCTTAGTATTTCCTTCGCACGCAAACAACAAACTTTTGTCTCCATGAGGAAGACGATCGTCGGCCTGTACGCACTTACGAGATCAGTCAAACACTGAATCGTTGCCGGATTATTGAGACCCATGCAGTTCCAACTAAGAACACTCATCGGAAATCCTCTTCTCCTATTCTACTTCTAAAATCGGAGCTTCATCCTTCAACGGGATGACCTCCTCTGCGATACAGGTCGTGCGAACAAAGGAGAGAAGTGAAACCCCGCTGATAAAAGTCCAGCGTAAACGATGCCTAAAAGAGTAACTCCGAACACACGACTGAGCCACCGCCGCCGGTAAGACTGGCTAGGAGAACCCTATAGACGTCCGCTTTTTTTGAACGACAATCTAAGAAAAGGCTTATTAATCATAACGGCTATAATTTTTGGTTCGTTATTGCACTTTTATTTAAATACCAACTTATATGCATTATTTATTAAATCAATCCAAAATATCATATGTCATTGATTGAAGTGATTGCGTTCAAATTAAATATTGATTCAGTAAAAAGATAATGATGTTAATTTTAAAAGCATTCAATTTTCTGTTAATTTAATCGAGCACACCAATTTCTGTTAATTTTAAAGCTTTGATTTGTGAAAAAATAATCAAATCATTTAAGCAATTTATATCCAAA